CATTCAAGTATTACTGTACTTATCTCACACGGCACGCGGAGGAGACACGAGTGCACACCAAGGGTGCACTGGGCACACTGGTACTGGGGGAGACAAATGCTAAATTTTTCAACTGATGTTAAATTGATTTTCAAAATGACTTTCACCAATTATTTTCCCACCAGTAATGTGCAAGAAAGCCTGTGTCCTCCGACCATCTTCCACTCTCTGGACTGATAAACTTTTACTTTATTGTGTTGAACAGGTATCAATGCTGCCACCTTGTTTTAGCTTTCATTTCTGCTCCCTAGTAAGCTGGCTGTCCCTTTATATGGATATATGTGCTCTAGTTTCTGAATTATTCCCCTTTGCTACCGAGATAAGCAGCAATTTTATTGATTTGAAGCTGTATTTTTCTCTGTATCCAGATATAGATTATTGGTTATTGATTGTGTTAATTTTATGTGATGCATATTTTTCCCCAAGTTTAATCATTTTTAACTTTAAAAAGTCTTTTGAAATTTAGCCTTATTTATTCAATATGCATGAGTATTTTGTGTGTCACATCATTGCATGTGTGCCTGGTGCCCTCAGAGGTCAGAAGATGCTGTTGGATACACTGGAACTGAAGTTTTTGGTTGTTGTGAGCTACAGTGTGGCTGCTGAAAATTAAACCTGAGTGCTCTGAAAGAAAGACAAGTGTTCTTAACCAGCAAGCCACCCTTTGGCCTTTCAATGAATAAAGTATTAAAATTTAATACTGGGGCTGGACATATAGCATAATAATTAGGAGGACCTGCGGTTCTTGCAGAGAACGTAGGTCTGGTGCCCTGAAATCCTATAGTGACTCATCATCATCTCTAACTCCAGTTCCCAGGGACCTAAGTTTCTTTTCTTATTTCCATTGCCCTTGTGGACATGCTGTTCACAGACATACATGTAGCAATGCACAGATTAAAAATAAATAAGTCCTAAAAATTCTTTAAATTTTAATAGAAAAAAAACTAAGGTGTTTTTTTTTTCTGCATGTTGTCTTTTCCCATTATTCAAAAGATACTTCCTACTGTATACATTCATCTATATTTTCTCCTAGGAGTTTTGAAGAATTTGACACGTTAAGAATTTAGTCCACCTGGATTTGGCTCATGTTCTATTGTCAGCCTTTTCTCTTAAGAATAGCCATTTCCCTGCCTTCATTTCTGAAGATCCTATGTTCCACCTATTTTTGGGCATACGTGTGTCTTCTTCTCACTAAAGTTCAAGAACTACTTCTCAATTGAATTGAAACTCTTAAAGTTAGCTAACACAGGTCCCTTCTCCATATTTCCCACAGCTATAGAGCTACCATCTCTCTGCACTTCTCTGTAGACTCACATGTCCGAACTCTATGAAAGATGCTCTTATAATCTTGACTACAATTTATTGGATCTCTACATTAGAGAATTTATACTTCATAATATTTTACAACTATCTATGAACATAGTATACTTAACTTCTTTAATATTTTTATGTTATTTTTAATTTTTTTAGGATTTTTTCACTTCTATAAGTTTTTTTCTATATTTTTATGTATAATATTTATGTTTCATCGGTATATTGTATATTGTGAGTATCCTTGAACATAAAATTTTCTTTTATATTTCTGAATTTCCATGTTTTGATAAGAATTAGTCACAGAAAGGTTGTTTCATCTCTAATCACTTGTCTCTGAAATGAGTTTTAAAAAATGAAGTTCCTGTTTTTTCCAAACAATCATTTTTATTTTTTTTTTATTTTTTATTTTATTTTATTTTATTTTTTTTGGTTTTTCGAGACAGGGTTTCTCTGTGGCTTTGGAGCCTGTCCTAGAACTAGCTCTGTAGACCAGGCTGGTCTCGAACTCCCAGAGATCCACCTGCCTCTGCCTACCGAGTGCTGGGATTAAAGGCGTGTGCCACCATCGCCCGGCTCAAACAATCATTTTTTAAAAAGCAACTAAAATTTGTTAGAAAATTCAGGGATGGTATCTTCGTAAATAAAATATAATACATTGCTTAGTAGCAAATATTTTCTCTCCACAAATAAAATTCTAATAGTTCCTAATTCTAATTAGGAACAAAAAAAGTCAGGAATAGCTAAATATGTTTTGTTTTTGTTGTTGTTGTTGTTGTTGTTGTTTTGTTTGTTTGTTTGTTTTTTGTTTTTTGTTTTGTTTTTCGAGACAGGGTTTCTCTGTAGCTTTGGTTCCTGTCCTGGAACTAGCTCTTGTAGACCAGGCAGGCCTTGAACTCCCAGAGAACTGCCTGCCTCTGCCTCCCGAGTGCTGGGATTAAAGGCGTACGCCACCACCGCTTGGCTTAAATATTGTTTTAATAGTTTACACATTCTTTTTAAATATATTTATTAGTTCTTTTAGAATTTTATGTATTGTGTTTTTATCACATTCAGCCTCCTCCCCAATTACTCTCAGAACCAGTCCCACTTCTCTATTCACCCAAGTTCATGTTTACTCTCTCTTCCTATCTATCTATCTATCTATCTATCTATCTATCTATCTATCTATCTATCATCTATCTATATCTTTATCTATCTATCTATCTATCTATCTATCTATCTATCTACTATCTATCATCTATCTATATCTATCATATCTATCTATCCCCTAGAAAACTCAAGTCTACAATGCTTTGTGTTGGGCTACTCTTTGCTATAGGCCCTTTCCTGGATTGTGGTTGACTTTCCACAGAGTAAACCATTAAAGAAGACTGACTCTTCTTTTCCCAGCAGTTATCGAATGCCAACAATTGTTCTGCTTGAGGCTGGACTTCATGCCCATCTCCCACTTTATGCTGGGATTTTATCTGGCATGAGTTTCCATAGATCTTGTTCATGTTATTATGATCCCTGCACATTTATATGTACAGCTGCCCTGCTGTGTTCATTAAACAGTTCTTTTAGAGTTACTCCCCACTGATAACTTATTGCTATCCCCGTAGACCAGTGTGTCTCTCAGTTATCATCAGAAAAGCTTCTTTGGGAGTTAGATGGCAATTAACACAGAGGCCTACAACTTATATCAAAGTGTAAAAGTTACAAGAGCCTGCATGGTTTTTAGCCCAAAGAGGATGTTTATATCACTTCTGTTACCCCAAGGTTCATAGAGCTTTGCCAGAGTGGCTTAGATAGCTTATAAGAGAGAGAAGTGGTGGATATGCCTCAGGTTTACATGTTCTTAAAAGGGATAGATAGTATATATTCAGAAAATAAACATATTGGTTTGTAGACAAATTTCACAAAAATAAAATCGTGGTATAGTTACAGAACTTGTTAAACACTGTAACTTTCATATTAATTCTACATCAGTACTTCAAATTCTAAAATCTAAGAATTTTTATGTACATAGAACATGACATTTTTGTCATGTTTCCAGTAAAGTTAAAATGAAACAATAAAAATATATGCAAAACTAAGTTACCTTCTTACATAATTAGGACGAACAAATTTACAAATTTCACATGGTTTGTAGAAATAAAATTAGCCATGCTGTATTTGTATCAAAAGTTGCAGGGCAAACAGACTAGACATTAGTTTATCTGCAACTGACACTTTCAGGTTTCTTGTTGTTGTTGTTATTTTTGTTGTTATTTTATTCGTTTAGTTGGTTATTATTGCAGAAAACTTACTGACAAAAGTTAGTATAAGGAAAATAGATTGGAGGTTGGACATGGTGGTAGATGCCTTTAATCCCAGCACTTGGGAGGCAAGGTCAGCTCTCAGACATGAACTCTCTGTGAATTCATGGCCAGCCTGGTCTATGTAGAGCGTTCTTTGGCAGTTAGGGATACATGGAGATATTCAGTCCAGAAAGAAAGAAAGAAAGAAAGAAAGAAAGAAAGAAGGGAGGGAGGGAGGGAGGGAGGGAGGGAGGGAGGGAGGGAGGGAGGGAGGGAGGGAAAAGAAATGAAGAAAGGAAGCAAGAAAGGAGAAAGAGAGAGAAAGAAATTGTCCAAGAAGACTGAGAAGACTTAGTGGGTAAGGTGCTTGATCTGCAAGTCTGATGATCTGAGGTCAATCCCCAGAACCCATGTAAACATGAGAATCAACTTCAAAAATTGTTTTCTGTCAGCCACGTTTGTGCCATTGCACAGCCACCACGAACACCAGATGTACTCAGTAATAATAACAATAAATAAAATATTTTAAAAATGAAAGAGTTTAAAGGACACAAATTTACTCTGAGTAGCTATACATAAACTGTAATTTTCACTAATTATATTTTTCATATTGAGTATCACAGACAAATATAATTCTAATGACCTTATTAATCTGCGCACTCACATTTGATGGGAAAAGCACTTATCATTTTTAAACAGAATGGAGATTACACTAGAAAAAGCAGTGTAATTTTAACAATTTTAAAGGAAAGTTATGTGTTAAGGTATGCCCACTCTGAAGTCTCCTTTTTAAAATTTACCAGTGACAATTCATGCATGAAATTTTTGAGCATAAATTTAGTTGCCTTTCAGGTTTTAGTGAGCTTATTTTATTTTTCTCTTCTAGATAGAGGTTACTGTTATAACAATAAAATTGAAAGCTAAAAAGGATATAAAAGATAAATTTTGAAATGTTAGAAAATAATTTTATAATAATAATAGAAGATCAGTTAATAAACTGTTGTCATTAAACCAAAAGGGAAATATATGCTCTCAACTTGAAAGATTAAAAAAAATACAATATACAGTACACATTTACTTATCATTTCACTCTGGGTATGATTTAGTAAGCCCAACAAAATTTTATTTAGAAATATTTCTTTGCATAGATTTTTTAAGTTTTTCTAGAATCAGTATTTATTACTGTGTCCTTCTAAAAGATTTATTAAAAACTTAAGTTCTTAAGTTTTATTTAAAATTATATACAATAATATAAAATTATATACGGTTGTATGAACATTATTTGTCTTACGGCTAATTTTCCATTACGTAAAACACTTCAAAACATGTAATTTCAGAACAAATGTCTGTTTTTCTAAATTTTAGCAGTAAAGAAGAATCATTGCTAACATCTGAAGAAAATAAGCTTGAGAATTTGAAGTTCACAGGTAATATTTATTAAAAATTAAACAAAATCTGTTTTTGTTACAGCCTTCCATGAAAATAATCTTAACAGCCAATCGTATTAACTTTTCAGATGCCTACATCCCAACAATCATTTGTTCTCTTGAGGACAAGGATGACTTGGGAGCCAGTCATCAAAATGTAGAAGGTATCAACACGGAGCGTGATGAACGTAATGAAAAAGAAATAGACTTGATGGTAAGTGTTCTGGTTGCCAAGGCATTAGAGGAGATGGATCTATTTACGCTTCAAAGATGCTACAATTCCTGCCTTTCAATGGCCTCAGCTAATATCATTTGCAAATGTGAAAGCCTAGCCTCTGTCCTAGCATCTCTAGCAAGCTAGAGCAACAAGGCACTTTGATTTCAGCGTGTGGTAAATTAATGACATTCATTTCCCATCTCTTTGCCATTGGCTCTGAGCAATAGTTTGTGGGAATTAGAGGCCAGGGACACTAGCCTGATGTGTACTTCTAATCTTTGTAATGAGCGTACACTTAGCATAAACTCGTCTGTAAAATAAGAGGACTGGAATAGGAAATAGTTAAGGCCCTATCCAACAGACAAGCCTATAATTCTTACATTTATCAATCTTTTGCTTTACTATTTCTGTCCAGGTAATAATCATAAAGTTTATTATTGTGGTAAAATATTAAATTACCAAAGAAGAAAATAACTAGTGCTTCATAATTTTAAAACTTGTAAAATTTTAGTATAGTATTTGTTAGCACAAATTCCACACTTGGTGAACATCAAATCTGTTCTGAAATTTGGAGGAGCTGGTTTAGTTCAGTCTTAACGCACAATGAGAGGTAGAAGTAAATGAGTCACACAGCACATTTATTTTATCCTTACTGTATTCGGTGGGAGCTCACAGCATGGGGATACAAGGATTCATAATCATCGTAGATTAAAATGACATTTGCCTCTTCAAGTGTCAGTGCTGAAGCCCAAAAGAGCTAAAACTCTTTTCTTTCTCCACACGTTACACCTCAGCGTTAGGGACATGGCAACCCCACCACTAAAGTATGCAATTTACTGTGCTCGACTTTAAGGCCCTACAAAGTTGTCACCCCATTGTGAAAATTCTTACCAGCTGAAAGTTAACATCACTGTTTTTTTTTTTTTCAAACCACAGAATATAATGAAAGGCCCCTGGAAAATCACATACTTCACCAATACACCTCATTACCATGAGCAGCCTCAAATATAAAAGTTTGTTTAGAAGTTACTGAAAGTGTACGCCCAATAAATGAACAGGGAGCTGTAATTTAGATGCTAATTTGCTCCATGCTGATGTGACTGCATAAAACAATGAAGCTCCATAATAGATGGAAATACAACCAAATCTGTGGAACCCACAGGCATTGGCTTATAAGACAGCTGTGCAGTTGACAAGTAACATGAGCCTTATGTGAGAAGAAGGGGAAAACGTAAGATTTGCATATAATTATTGAGATCATGCAAATGTCAGTTATGAGGAGGAAAAAAAAAAAACACAGGCATCTCACTGTTAAATCCTGACAGTTGGCATCACTGAAGAGCTCAAATACATTTGAGTACCAGTTGGCAGAGGGTCATTAAAACAGAATTTGCAGAGACATTAGCTCCCTCACTTTTCTTTGAGTGACGTTTTGCTATTAATAGTTTGCAGAGGCTTTGCAGAAAACATATTAATAAGAGAAACTGTAATGGGGGCACCTACAGCACATATAAATGTGGCAAGGGGCATCCAGGAAGCTGCTCTGTAATTGATTAGCATGGAGCTATCAATGTGTACATTCGAAGTGAGGAAAAACTGCAATGACAAGCAAGAATGGTTGAATAATACAATGTGATATTTGGAAGCTGAGAAGGAGAGTGATTAATTTGGGCCCCCTTCCCACTGATCTCATTCCCAAGTCATATCCCACAAAGATCTTGCCTCAAACATGCAACTTCCAGAGTTTGTGTGAAATCCGCAAATGAATTGAACCAAGGAAATCTACCCGATAATTACTTGAGCTAATAAAATCTAGTTTACTTTTCACACATTTAAAAAAGATTATATTGTTCTTATTTTTGTTGTTCTTTTTTCATAAGATAAGCCAACGGCTGATATCTTCCCGGGATGAAAAGAAGACATTTTCAACAGATCCAGTCAATTTCACATATAAAGCTGAGGGATCGGAGGAGAAGCAAGGTTACCATGGAATTCCTACTGACTTGTTCAGAAGGCCTTTGTCTCCAAGTTTACCAGAAGAAATCCCCTTAAAGAAAGATTTCTATCGCAGCAAAAACTATTCCCCAGGAAATGAATATGGTCATACACCTTCAGAGGAGATTTCTTCACATGTGGGAGAAATTGGGCCAGCAGTGGGAGATGCTAGCTCTGATGAATTAACTCAACTGAACCTCTGCAGCAAGGAAGTCCTCGATGACAATGCCAACCCAGCCCATGGGTCTGACAAAATGCAAACAGTATACTCCTCCTATGACCAGCTAATGGCAGGCAGTCTTCAAAAGAGTGAAGCAGGAGTCAAGAAAACTGGAATAAAAGATTACAAATATTCAAGAAGTGATTTCTATTTGGAGGCATCCACAAATCTGGAAGAATCAAATGCATCTTCAAAAGATGATTTCACCAAGGACAATGTTGCAGAGGAGCAGAACACATGCTTAGGTGTTAATGAAAATCAAAGCACGAATTTTCAATCAATATTCCAGAACCAAGATAGACAAATGGGGCATCCCAAAATACGCATTGAAGGGACTAAAGAGAATAACAAAGAATTAACCACTCTACTAAGCAAAGACACTACAACTACTCCCTGGACAGTGACGGTAGATCCCTATCGTTCAACAAAGAGAAAAGTTAATTGGAGAGAAGCTGGCAATGGTACCAATTTGGAACCAAGAGCTTCTCATCTTGGTTCACCAAGAAATGGCAATGTTCTGACGGATGATTATCTTTTTCAAGGTGAGAGGGGAAAATCAGATGCTAGTAGTCAGGAAGATCAGCATATGAATACACAGCATGAAAAAAATTGGAATGTTCTGGAAAGTCAGCCAGAAACAAGAGGGATTGAAACAAATATAACCAAGCAGATAAAAGAACAAGCAGAGTGTAAAGACGTGTGGGAAAAAAGAGACGACATGAGAGGTCTGAAAGCTCCCCCTGCAGAACAATTGTTTACCTGCCAAGAGACAGAGGGCTATGAACTGTCTTCTCCAGCTCATCATGGTATTACTGAGAAAGCAGAAGCACTTACAGCTTATATAATTAAGACAACGTTAGAAAGTACTCCAGAAAGCATGTCTGCTAGAGGAAAGGCAATAATTGCTAAGCTACCTCAAGAGACAGTACGAAGTGACAGGCCCATCGAGGTAAAAGAAACAGCGTTTGATCCACATGAAGGCAGAGGGGATGATTCGCATTATACCCTTTGTCATGGAGATACAGCGGGTGTAATCCATGTCAATGATTTTGAAAAGGAATCCCATTCAGCTATTTGTAATGTATATGTAGATGAAATGGAGAAGGAGGCAACCACATCGCCACGCAATCCTAGGAAGACACTTGACAAGGAACAACGTGGAACTGGAGTTGTAACATCTACAGACGAACCTTCACAGGTCATTACAGGCAATCAAAAAGGTACGTCAAACCTGGATTTACATTTGGGAGTGTTACCAACAGACAAAGCAATATTCCCAGAAAAGAAAGGTCTTGGGCTGCTTCAAGAATCATCACGGAGAACAGAGTTCGATGCTGTTCATTCTGCGTTTATTTCAGGCACTGTCAGCCCTTCTCAGAGCAGCCCTCAACTTTACAAATGTCAGTCAAAAACTTCAGAACCCTCTTCCGGATGGCCAGTTACTGAAGAGAAAGCAGTTACCAGCACAATACTCCAGGCCTTTCCTACCAAATCAGAATATACTTGCCATCCAGAAAGTGAGATCCTGGGCCATGCCATGTCTAAATTTGATGATGTTTCCAATAGTTTGGAAATAATGGAATCAGGTAGAGGAAGAGAAAGACATGTGGGTCGGATTGTCCAACAAAAAGAAGGTAAAAGCTTGGAAAAATCCCAAGGTCCAATGATTTTAATCAGTGAACCTCTTGAGAATCTGGAGGAGGCAAGGTCTGACATTAAAGAAGTAAGGTGTTTTGAAAAGTCACAAAGCCATTCAGACGACAAAGGGTCAGAGAGCCCTGCTTCTGCTACTCTTTCTGACCAGAATGTCCAAGCTCAGGTTACAGAGTCTCTGCTCTCCGCATACATCAACTCTAAAATACCTTATTTCCTTTTGTTTCTGATATTTCTAGTGACTATCTACTACTATGACTTAATGATTGGCTTGGCGTTCTACATTTTTTCCTTGTACTGGTTATACTGGGAAGGGGGAAGGCAAAGAGAGTCAGTCAAAAAGAAGTGAGGTTGACACAATGACTGTTCTCTCTTGAATGATAAGCTATTCTCTTGAATAATAAGCTTTTTAGTCCCAAACATTTGGGTTGGTGAGAGAGACTAGTCATTGTTCAAAGAGTCAGCGCAGTTTTTCTCTTGAAGGAACATTTAAAAAGGAATGCGTATGAAGTTAGCTCCTTCATATAAGTAATTATTCTATATAGGACCATTATGCTTGGATCATTAAACACCTATATGAATATGAGGTCTGAAGCACGTCAAGTTGAAATTAGGTACAGCTGTTGTTCCTTAGCAGGCTGTGAAGTCGCAATGCTTCATATCTCTTTGCTACTTAAAGTGCTATTTCTTGGAATCATTTCTTTCACAGTAAAGCTTTGGATATTTTTTTCCCTCAAAGCACTTTCTTTCCCCCTATGGTTTTTAAAAATAGATAAAACACAGACAATAGCAGAGAATTTTTTTCTTTTAGCCCTTAGAAGTAGCGATGAAATTTTCATTTAGCAGCGTGTCATTTATCAGCACATATTTATAGATAAAATACTGAAATTTCTATTTTATACCTACAAGAACATGCCCATGTGTGTTACAATATAAAACCTTAAGATGGAAACATGTATTATGCACACTCACTTTATACTTCATATGCATAGCCTTGTATCTCTTTACACCTACAATGACAGAGTGTTTATGAAACATTTGACCAATACTTCTGCATCAAACTGAAAATTTTCATGCAACTCTACAAATTTTGTGGATAGCCCATTTTAAACAACATTTTTCAATTGGAAGGGTAGACTGTAACAGAGTTAACAATTTTAGTTTTAAGTAGTGTCCAGACATGAAAACTAAAACCTGTAAGCATCATATTTGGACTATGTTGTACCTATAGAGCAGAAGCTCTCAACCCGTAGGTCGTGACTTATTTGGGGCTTCAAAGCAGATATCCTGCATGTCAGATACTTACATTATGATTCATGACAGTAACAAAGTTAGTTACGAAGTATCAACAAGATAATTTTATGGTTGGGGGTCACCACAACATGAGGAACTGTATTAAAGGTCACAAGAAAAGGAAGATTGAGAAACACAGCTATAGAGCATAAAGCCTCAAATAGCAATAATAAAATAGATAATAGAATGGTTTGCTCTTTATGATAGTTCTCTTGCTTTTAACTTAGTTGTTAGTTTTCAAGTAATGAGGAGAAGAATTATACCTACTGTACATGGACAGAACAAACAACTTGTCTTGGCTGATCCTCATTATGTGATCTTTAAGTTGTGAGCTGATGATTCAAAATTGAAAGCAGGAAAAATAGCTGGAATCATACTAGAAAATAAGTAAACATTAAGTATGGCGGTGGTCTGGACCACTGTAATTATGGGTAAGAGTGTGAAATAATAGAATTTTTGATGATGATACTGCCAAGAAAAATATACAATTTATTTCAGCAATTTTTGGATGACTGGAATATACAAGGCACTGTGTGCTCTATTCTGTGACAGTCCTTTGATACAATGAACATATATGGATCCCTTTATATAGCAAAATAATATATTTTTCACTTGCTTGGAGCATGAAAAATGTCACATAGAGCAAGCCTATTTAAATGGTCATCTTTTATGAGAAAATTTTCAAGGAATCTTTAATTGAAAATGGTATTTTTACTTATAATGATAAACTTACGTAACATTTCATCTTAGAAATATGCATTTATGAGAAAATAAAAATATTTTAAATTACTTTCACCTGATACTTAGAGATTTGCTTAATTTTCTTTATGTACACAATTATTTCTCAATCTTACAATTGCATGCTATTCTTAAGTCCTCTTGAAAAATGACTGCCTGGCTTCAACTCTCTAGTTGATCAAATGCAAACATCCTGAAGTAGAAAGTAGGTCAAATATTTATTTTTTTCAGAAGCACATTTCCATTAAATACAAGTGGAATTTCTTTAAGCAGTCCTTAGAAATTATCTCTAAAATTGTTGCCATCATATTTTGTTGTCAGGACTAAGCTGGAGTTAAAGTTAGCATTCCTTCAGAGTCTTTTGACTTAGAGTTTCTTAAGTCTAAGTTTTAAGAGTTTTAGTCAATATATCATTTCTCTTTAATGTAAAGAACACTATTATTTTATGAGCACAGGTGCCCCAACTGGAATTCTCTGAAATAATCAATCCAACTTCTTTTATCAATTTTATTTGATTTATGGTAACATTAACTCACAAACCATTCTCATGAATTTGTAATAAAACAGGAACAAGAGTCAAAAGATTTTAAATGCTGATTTGAACTGATTCTTCAAACATTATGTATGAGGAACTTGAAACAAAGTCATAAGAACATGTAAAGTGATTGTTGTGTGGCGAGGTAAAGCTCAGTAGTCTCTTTTGATCACTTCTCTATGCTGAGTAAGAAGAGTGGGTAGCAGGAAGAACTCGTGGCCTCTGCTAAGAAGGGTTTGGTTATGGACCATGTTGGTAAATGCCATTCTTAATGTATAACTGTGTGCTCCATGTCTCACCAACATTGACTTTAGGAATAATGAGGACATGGCAGAGTAATTAGCAGTGAGGAACTTTATCCCATTCTCATTTTGAATAAGAAATTTGATATAATCGTTATAATTCTTTATCACGATGGACTTCTCACTCTTAGACAGGAAGCCCTGAAAATTGACAATATAAGTAGTAACTGCAACTCTTCTTTAAGAAATCTGACTACTCTGAGCTATCTGTATCACAATAGAATTCTCAGCCATAATTGAGTGAATTCATAGATAATATTACTCTTCAGCATTGAGGAATGATAGGCTAATAGAACAATATATATCTGAGAAGGTCTAATTTGTCAATAGGAAAGTTTACCAAGGACTATATGTTTATCTATATTTAAATATTTGTCAATATTTTGTCAAAACAGGAAATTCTTATACCTCATCTTACACCAGTAGTCTGGTTAAATGGAAAAATTTTAAACGACCAGATGAAATAAAAGGAAATAAGTAAGATATTTTGTCTCTCTGGAATGGTATTCATGGAGAATTTTAAATGTTTTCTTTTGCAGAAATGAATTTTATTTCATGCTAGAAACCTTTTTACTTTATCAAGGTTCCTTTTGTATATGAATAAGATAAACACTAAATAAATAAAATAGGCCTCATAAAATTATAGGCGGTCGGTAGTGATTTCCTTTATGATAATAGGCTTTTTCTTTTACATGTCTATTGAGGGCTTCTGAAAATTGGATTTTACAAAGGACCTCCTTTTGGTGTTATCCTGTCTTAATCAGTTCCTGCAGAACTGAAGAAGATCCATTTTAACTATACAAGATGTGAAATGGCAGGCCATGCTTGCCAGGTACCTCTGGGGCTGTGTATCTTTGAAGAGAACTTCTAAAAAGGCTACTATTTTATTTCTGATTAACCATTGGTAGCTTTTGTATTTTTTTGGAAATTTTATAATAAAAATATTGTCAACACAACTTAATTTTCCTCATTTAAAACATATTTAGTCATGAATATGATGTTTCTATCACATATACCAAACTTTTAAAATTATAAATTAAATTTAATGAAGCTTCCAGCCTACCTTTGCATGTGCATGTATTTTACAATAAATTGTGCTATTGTGGTTTGCTGAAACCTTATTAAACAAACAACTATTTAAAAAGTATAAGATTTTCATTTCATATCATTTTAATATTTTCAAATTCATAAACAGGACATTGGTTTTTCGAAAGCAAGACAATACATTGTGCAAAATTTTAATGAAAGCTTCCCCAAGTCTTTTTCTACTATATTCAATTCTTGCAAACTGCTAGAAAATAAAGTAAGAGGTCAACAAGGGTAAACGGTTATGAAATCATTTTGATTTGGCTGTGGTGCCTCCAATATCTGACTTTACAATAACCTGGGATGCATAATTAAATGACTTCTCTTGGTTGAAATTGGTGCAGATTTTTTTATTTCACTGCTCTAATAACTCAGCCGTCCTTATTGTCCCCAAATCCCCTTGCTAACTGAACAAATGAAATTAGTCCTCTTAGCACTACGTGTGTGTACCCTCTGCCTAGACTGCATGGCTATACTTCTCTTCCTGGTTAGTGCTGCAAATTTTCTATGCATACTTCAAGTCCCATCCTTTCTGTCATACCTCCTTTCATAGTTTATAAGATTTTCTTTTAAATTTCTTTCTATGTTTTTTTTTTGCCCTTGCCTGCACTTGTCATTTTGTTATCCCAATCGAACTGACTATAAGTTTTGGAAACAAATATTGATTTTCTCTTTCTTCCAGTTATCCTACATGGTCTAGTTTGCGGGAAGGCTGAGCCAGTACTGGTCACAATGATGAATCTTCCTTTTGTTCCCTGCTATATAATTAAAACTTCCTAAACTTCCTTAAATTGTAGGTGGGATGATTAGATACCTGAAGATAATGTCAAAAAGGCAAAGAGAATGTGGAGATGCAAGATTGAATGATGTGCTGGGTTTGGGATATGGAAGAAGGAAAATGGCTTTTTCTTCACATTTCCCTTAACAATGTCATCTATTTTCCATCTTAAAAATTTCTTTCTTTGTTGGTGTGATGGTGCATGCCTTTAATCCCCACACTCAGGAAGCAGAGGAAGACCCATCTCTGTAAGTTTGAGGCCAGGCTGGTCTATGGAGTGAGTTCCAGAACAGCCAGGACTGTTTCACAGAGAAAACCTGTCTTGAAAAAAACAAAAACAAAAAAACAAACAAAAATTATTCTTTCGTGTATATAAACCATCCCTGTCATTTTATTTCATGAAAAATAACTAAATTATTCTGAATTTAGGGGAAATAATGCATTACTTACTTAACTGGCTAAGGTGGAAATTAAAAGAACACAAAATGTTGTCAGAGAGAGTGGCCCATGGTTTGAAATTAGCAAACATCACAAGGTATAAAGTTCAAGAAACCCAATCTGCCCAGCTGCTGCCATGCCCTTTGAAAATGGCTGATCTCTCCACTCCACACCTGTTC